ACGTGAGCTGTGGTTAATTGGTTATTAATAACTTCTTTGTTAACCAGCCAGCCCTAAGGAGGAACCAAAATTTGACCAGCCCGGAGCTCAGTCACCGGCAGCCGGCGATCATTCACAATTTCTCCCTACATTTATTTTTTGTTGTTGCTGTTGTTGCCGGGAGTGGCAGCCCCCCGGCTGAGTCACGGCGGTGACAGCAGGGTGACAGCACGGTCCCCTCACCTACGCACACAGCACAGCCTTCCGCGGCGGGCTTTTCTTTTTAATTCCTAGAAAAATAACAGATGCTCTTGCTTGAGGGGGAGATTCTTGGAATCCGTTCAGGCTGAGCCTGGCTGTGCCCAAACTCCAGCTTCCCCTCAAAGGAGCCCTGCGGGAGCCGCGGAGATCCCCTGCCCATGGGTGGCTCCTCTGCCAGTGAGGAGCCTCCCCCCATGGCAAACAGCGACAGCAAACAGCCTCCACACCCAAATCCCAGCTCCTGCCCGCTGCTTTGGGACTTCCACTTAAAGGAACCTTTTTTGTTTGTGTCCCATGTGAATCAGAGCGGTGCTGGACCCTCTGCACCCCCATGCTGCGCTGACAGAATGCAGCACGGGGGGGTTTCCAGCTTCAGCTCTCTGGGAATGGCTTCTGAGGACCCACAAGGGCTGGCAGAGCATTCCCAGCTCCCATCCGTGCCCATCTGGGAAATTTCAGCATGGGGACCTGGGCTTCTCCACAGCCCAGCACCAAGGATGGAGATTGCAGGCCGGACACAGCTGCTCATCCCAGGAGTCACCATCAGACATTTCCACAGCAGGATTCAGCAGAAAACATTCCTCCCACAGCTTGGAGCAGAGCCTGACCTGCATGAGGGCACCCAGCAGGTCCCAGAGTTACCCCCAGGTGTGTCAGTGACCACAGCAAGGTCCCAGGACACCACAGCCATGGGACACACAAGATCTGCTGCCAGCTGGACACCAAGGACCTGCTCCAGGTGGATCTGGACAGCTCCATCCTCTCCTGGTGACACCAGGGAAGACACAGCCACCACACAGAGGGACAGCTCACCTTTGCTCTTGGTGCATCCCAGGGAACAGCAGGATCTCAGGAGCAGCTCCAAGACACAGCCACAAGAAAGAACACTCCCTTCTCCTGGGTCCAAACCCCAGAAGCGGCCTCCAGGTCCTTTTATAGAGCCCAGGGAGGCAAATAACCTGCAGCTGATGATTAAGCCATTAATGGTTCACACCTCTGTAAACGATCCTGGCCCGAGCCCCCATCCCAGCCCAGGCACTGACAGTGACCTCACCCAGCAGCCCAAAACAGTCCTGGGAACACCCAGGAAGCCCCCACTGTTTGTTCCCTTGGCTGCTCCGTCTGGGCTCTCCCAGGAAGCCCCCACTGTTTGTTCCCTTGGCTGCTCGTCTGGGCTCTCCCTCCCCACCCAAACAGGGTTTGGCCTTTCCCAGGAGTTCAATCCCAGCCACCATCCAAGGCTGTCTCCCTCTTGGAGAGGCTGTTTGGGATGACCCTGTCAGCAATCCTTTCTTGCAGGTTTGGGGTTGAATTCCACACCCAAAGCTTCATGATATCCACTTCTTTTCCAGATCCATTTTTGGGGCCAAAAGCAGAAAGTGAGGCCCCACCACCAGCCCCCTGCCCTCGGGCTTCTCCCGTGAGAGCACAGTCCCACTCCCAACCCACCTACATCACAGGCAAGCGGGCTCTGCTCTGATTTACCAGCTCAAAAACCCCAATACCAGCCCCAGCCACCCCTGCTGACCCTGAGGAGATGCAGCTGCACATCTGGAGAGCACCAGCACCTCAAGGAGCCTTTCCTGGCCACGCTGGACCCAGTGTGACCAATCGTCCCTGTGTCTGCTCCTCCTGTAGATGTTTTCCTACAGATCCTGTGGGATAATGTGAGGTCCAGAGGGGTCTGACCCTCTGTCCTCAGCTACACCAGGGTGTAAATGGTGATACAGGTTCCTCAGTGTGGGCTGAGGGGATGGGTTACACACAAGATCCAGTGCTCAGGAGTCACCGACGTGGCCTCTGCTCTGGGGGGAAAGTGCTGACACCGAGATCCTGCCTGGGGGCCCTGATGTGGCATTTTCTAGCCCAGGATGTCACTCCCTCTCTGCACGGGGCCTCAGTGGGGCTCCAGAGACATCCGGGCCCCCATGGGAAGGGCTGAATCCATCCCTGGGCACACAGGCAGCTGCAGCCTTTATCCCACAGGATTTACCCACAGCTGCAGCCTTTATTTTACAGGATTTATCCACGTTCCCCATCCCTGAACGAGCCTGAATCCTGGCTGTGCTGCACTCCCAACCCCCAGCACAGCGCCGTGTCCTGGGGCAGATCCATCCCTCTCCCTGCTCCAGGGGCAAAGCCCTGGGTCTGCAGTGATCCAGCTCCCCTTGCCCAGCCCTGAACCTGCCCCCAGGGAGGCAAAGCCAGGCTTGAGACACCCCCTCCATGGGCAGAGCAAGGGGTCACTGAGGCAGAGGCCGGAGAGGAGCTGGGGAGCCCGGAGTGCTGTCCATAACAAAGCTCCCCAGGCCACAGAGGAAGGGGAAGAGGCTCCCCTCCCTCCTCTTCCTCCCTCCCGCGTGGGGATTTTGCAGCCAGGTAAACACAGGATGTTGATGAAACAGGGCTGGGCAGATTGGGCAAGCCGGGAGTCAGCAGGAGCTCCAGGCAGCTCCCAAGGCCTGGAATGGCCCTGCAGCCAGGAAAGGGCAATGCCAGAGCCCTGGCACCTTCCTCCGCCTGTCCCCAGGGCCACGGAGCTCACAGCTCACAGGGAGAGGCGGCGTGGGCTGGTGACAAAGCCAGGGCAGGCTGGCATCCCTTGGGTGATCCATGGCATCCCTTGGGATCTCCTCACAGGCTGAGCTGAGCTCAGGACCGAGCCCCAGAGTTCAAGCTTTGACAACCAGCAGCAACCACGTGGCACCTCCTGTGTCCCTCTGGACACTGGGGACGTGCAGGGCACAGGGGTGAGGGGACACATCCCCCAGGATGCCACCCTGCCGGGCTCACGGCAGGGCACCTGGGGTCCAGCTGAACTCTGCAGGGTTTGGCTCCCGACCCCGCGAAGGGGCACGGACCAGCCCAGCCTGCCCTGGGGCGCTGCTGTCACCCCACGGTGACCAGGTGTGCTCAGGCAGGGACAGCGAGCCACCAGGGCCACCAGCCAGCGGAAGGGACCGTGACCCGCCCGGGGAGGGGCTGTGATGTGACAGAGATGTGGAAGGGGCTGCCCGCCTCACCAGAGCCGGAGTGCAGGGGCAGGTGGCGCTGTCCCCAGTGTCCCCAGTGTCCCCAGTGTCCCTTGGGGCACTGCTGCCATCTGCTGGCAGGATCCCATCCTGCGCCGGTCCTGAGCCTGGCCTGGGGACCCTGTGTGACCCCACTGTCCTGTGTCCCCTCCCAGGCACTGCGGGACCACGTGCGGCTCCAGCCCGGCCACCCCAAGGTGTCCCCAAAGCCTCCGTGCTGGCCCCGGAATCCAAACCCCAAAACTGCTCCTGGTGTCCCCAAGGCACAGCTGATTGTCACCCCCATAACCCACTCCTGGGCTGCAGGTTTCTCCCACACCGACCCCTTCCCAGACACCCTCCCTGCCCTCTTGTTCTCCATGTGGGGTGGCCTGGAGTGGCCCCTGCATCATGGAGCAGGGACAGGATCAGGCCCTTGGCCACAGCAGAGGGGGAGCAGCTCTGCTGGGCTGCTTTCCCCAGGGAACATCCAGCTCCACCCTCCCCAGGGCTGCTGAGGGGCAGAGGAAGCTCATCCCGAGATGATTTCCTGCTGCATTCCCATCCCCTGGGTCTCTCTGGGATGTGGGGATTTGCTGAGTCCCCTCCTCCCTGTGGCAGCCGAGCACATTGTGATCCTCTTCCCACGGCCCCCCTGACCCTCCTGGCCTTCCCAGCACCTCTGTGTCCCCTGGGAGCAGCACATCCCAGGATAACCCCTGGGGACTGTGCCTCGCTGGGTGTGGGGACACCCAGTGACACCCTGCACATCCCTCTCTGCTTCCACGGGCACTGGAAGCAGCCTCAGCGGGGTGCTAGAGGGCGTTTGCTGTTTGGATGCAGTCAGGAGCTGGGAATAAGGTTTGGGAGAGGTGAATCTCCAGCCCGTGTCCCCACAGTGGCCCTACAAGCAGCATGGCTCATCCCACCCCGGGCAGATGGCAGCAGCGCTGGAAAATGCCCAAACTCTCGGGCAGGGACTGCGCTGCAGCTGTCCCTGGTTTGATTCCTCTCAGCCAAACCAGGCAGTGTCTGGCGGATTTTCCATGCCCCAGCCCACACACAGGAAGGCTGAAGAGCTCCGGAGACCTTCCTGCTGGGAATGATCCCCGGCGTGTGAGCCCTGCAGAGTCGGTGCCTGACGCCCACGGGAGCAGCGGGAAGTTTCAGTGCTCAGTTTTAGTCTAAAAGGGATTTTTATTCCCTGAGCCCTGCAGAAGAAAACTGGGAAAAACCAACCCGCTCGAGGGGCCGCAGCCCAAAGAAGCAAAATCATCCTCTGATAATGCTGAGAGCTCGCTCTGATAATGCTGAGAGCTCGCTGCTCAGAGCCGAGCCACGGAGGGTTCGCTCTGAATTCCAAAGAAACCAGGTGTGTGCATCCACCCACCTCCCTCCGCCCCCGCCATTCCCACCCGCCGCCATTCTCCTGCTTCTGGAACAACCCTTCCCACCAAGCCCCTCAAGCAGAGACCCCCCCAGCAGCGCTGCCCGTGCTGTCCAAACACCATCCTCCCAAAATCCCCACCCCGTTCCCACCCAAACCTGGCCGCTGCCCTCCACTCACCGCGGGGGAAACGCCAAATCCTTCTGCCATCCTCGGGCACATGGATCCCCTGGCACTGGGGTGGGCTGGCACGGCTCCCCCCGCACATCTGGGCAGCTGTGGCCGCGGCAGGGCCCGCGTGGCGCCCCGGCAGCGCTGACATCAGCTCGGTTTCCTGCCCTCCGCCGCCGCACGGCGAGCGCAGCCCCGAGCCCCGAGCGGGCCCCGGGACCCCTGTGCGGACCCCCCCGGCCATGGAGTCGCTGGCCCTGTACAGCTTCCAGGCGACGGAGGAGGACGAGCTGCCCTTCCACAAAGGGGACACGCTGAAGGTACAGGGGACCAGCCGCGGGGCTTGGGTGATGTTGCTTTGCGGGGACGGAGTGGGCCCACGGTGACACCGGTGCTTTCTTTGTCCCTGGCTTCAATGCTTCTGGGGCTTTCTGTGGGATACAAGGAGCCGGCCTCGAGGGTTTGGGAGTGTGGAGTGGCATTCCCTGCTTGTCTGTGGGCACAGCTTCAGAGAAGGACACCACAGCTGGGACATGGCATGTGGCCTCCGTCAGTGCCACCAGCTGAGCTCAGTGGCAGCCCCTCGGGGCTGGGACACTTTTCCCTGCCCAGGAGGCACTGGAAGTCACAGGGGGACGCATTTTCCCTGTCTGGGGGGCACTGGAGGTCACAGGGGGACACGTTTTCCTTGTCTGGGAGGCACTGGAAGTCACAGGGATCCGGCAGCAGGGACCATGTGCCCAAACACCCACCCAGGCACTGGCATTGGGGTGGGCTCTTAGATGCCACCTGGGAATCCCAAAAAGCTCCAGGGGCGCTCAGGACATCCCTGGGGGGCAGCAGCCCTGCAACAGGAGTGAGAGCCCCCCCTCCCTGCCCGTGTGCTCATCCCTCTCGGGCTCCTCCCGGACCCCTGGCACCCTGCAGCCCCCCGGGGGGACAGGGGCACATCCCGGCTGGATCCCAGAGCCCCAGACCCGCCGTGCCATCCCTGCCTCCCGGCGTGTTTTCCCCGTGCCCTGGCCCCGGGTTTCAGATCCTGTTTTCACAGCTGAGCCGGGCCCCTGCGGGGGAGGCTGGAAAATGTTGTCACACGGAAGCGGTGACAGCACCCGCTGCCACCGTGCCGGGGGACGCGGGGGCCTGCCTCACCTCCTGGCTGCTCCAGGGACAGATCCCACCCTCTGCCCCGGGCAGGGCTTTGGGACAACAGCGGGCACCTCCCGGCTCTGTGACCCCGAACCCCCAAGTGTGCCAGCACTGCCAGGGCCCCCTTTTCCCCCGGGGATGGTTGGGGGGCGTTGTGGGGTCTGGAGCAGCAATGGGGTCACACTCAGCCCCCGTCCCAGGGGAATGGCAGCCAGGCTGACGCCTCCCTGCTCCTCTCCCACCTCAGATCCTCAACATGGAGGATGATCAGAACTGGTACAAGGCTGAGCTGTTCGGCCGCGAGGGCTTTGTCCCCAAAAACTACATCAAGGTCAAGCCACACCCGTAAGTACCATCCCACCAGGGAGGCAGCAATCCCAGTTCTCAAAGGTCTGACGTGAGCCAGGGTAGTCCCACACGTGGGGAAACTGAGTCACAGAGATGGAGGGGGTCAGTCTGCCGGTGCCACCACAGCCCAAGGGGACAGGAGGCAGCAGCACACCCACGTACCCCCAAAAATCCAACCCTCACATCGAGCTGCCACTGAATAAATGATAACTGGGGAACAAGAAAACCTTATGGGATTATGACTGCATTAAACACAATCCTATTAGCACGTTATTAAAGCCCAGCCTAATCCATCGCCAACTGAACCTGTGTTTTATTTATCCTTAGCCCCTGGTAAATCACATTTAAATGCCAGAGCGAGCGCGTGGGCTCGGGGCAGCCCGGGGCACATCCCACTGCTCCTCCAGCTTGGGATAACAACCGGGATGGGCGAGACGCAGCCTCCCGTGCAGCACCTGCGGGGCTGCCTCTGTGCTGATCATTTTTACAGCAGCAGAGAATCTTCCCAGCCCAGGCACCTGAAATACCGGGCACAGCGGTGGGACACAGCAAAGGAGCTGCAGCAGGAGGGGTTTATCCTGGCACCGGGGGGTTTCTGCTCTCCACCTGGAAGGGCTGCTCCCACCAGGGGCGCAGGGAAGCGGAGGAGGGGACAGGCGCGGTGACAGCCCAGGTGACAGGATGCGGGGGCAGCTGTCGGTGACGCGGAGGGGGCAGCGCGCCCACAGCACCCTGCGGTGCCCCCCGACAATTCCGGGGTGAACCAAGAGGGGGAAGGAAGGGAGAAACTGCCGGGGGAGGGTCGCAGCCTTGTGAGGAGCCCGATGCCGACCCCTCTCCCGGGAATCTCGGTGCCTCCACCGCGCAGGCTGCGGATGCGGCGCCGCGGTGTCCCCGTGTGCCCGGGGGGCCCGCCTGGCTCAGCCCGGTGCCCCTCGCAGGTGGTACGCGGGCAGGATGTCCCGGCAGCTGGCAGAGGAGCGGCTGCTGCAGCGCGATCACCTGGGAGCCTTCCTGATCCGCGACAGCGAGAGCGCCCCGGGCGAGTTCTCCCTCTCCGTCAGGTGAGTGCCCCGGGGACAGGCGGCAGGAGGGGAAGGGTCCCTGCAGCCCCCGCTTTGGGGCCGCCCTGGTGTGGGCTGGGAAGGGCTGAGCACCCTGCCCTGTGCTGGCCACCTCGGAGGGGCTGCGGAGCCGGGTGCCAGCTCATCCAGCACGCCTGGCACGGGACCTTCCGCTCCTTCCTCTCCTTCCTCTCCTTCCGCTCCTTCCTCTCCTGCACAGCTCCGCCTCCATCCCCGCTGCTGCCTGCACCGCTGCCCTGGCAGGGACACCCCTAAACACAGCCCCGTGGGTGATGGTGGGGCTGGGGCCGGGGCAGCAAAGCCCGGAGCATCCCCAGGGATGCAGGGCTCAGCATCCCAGGGAGGAAAGGCTCAGCATCCCCAGGGATGCAGGGCTCAGCATCCCAGGGAGGAAAGGCTCAGCATCCCCAGGGAGGAAAGGCTCACATCCCAGGGAGAAAAGGCTCACATCCCAGGGAGAAAAGGCTCAGCATCCCAGGGAGAAAAGGCTCACATCCCAGGGAGGAAAGGCTCAGCATCCCAGGGAGGAAAGGCTCAGCATCCCAGGGAGAAAAGGCTCAGCATCCCAGGGAGGAAAGGCTCACATCCCAGGGAGGAAAGGCTCACATCCCAGGGAGGAAAGGCTCACATCCCAGGGAGGAAAGGCTCAGCATCCCAGGGAGAAAAGGCTCACATCCCAGGGATGAAAGGCTCACATCCCAGGGAGGAAAGGCTCAGCAACCCCAGGGATGCAGGACTCAGCATCCCCATGACTTTGGCACCGGCTGTACAAGGGGCAGAGCCTGTCCCCGGGGATCTCACCCCTGCCCTGCCCCGGCCTGGGGAGCAGGGGGCAGCCCCAGGCCAGCCAGGCACTTTCTCACACTTTTAATCCCTAATTGAACGTTTTGGGAGGTTCTTGCCCCTAATGAAAGGGAGCCGTGCTCTGCCGAGTCACCGGCAGCACAAGCAGGTCCCGCCCCTGCCCGGGGCAGCCTGGCACCCCAGGCACGCCCTGCGAGGTGACAGCAAGGGACAGCCTGCCTGCCCCGTCCTCCTGCAGCACAGGGGTCCCCAGGAGCACAATCCCAGCCTCTGCAGCCTCCTGGCTTGTGCCCAGACCTGCAGCTCTCACCACGCCTTCCCCAGATGTGGCCCTGGGCAAAGCCACCTGCCCTCCACCTGGCTGGCACGCTGCCACCCCCCTGAGCTCCCACTGTGCCAGGGCTGGGCACCAGCTTCAGCTGCCTGTGGGGCGAGTTGCAGCAGGGCTCAGCTGTGGGTCCTCACTGCAGGGCCAGGAACAACCCCAGTGCCACCATCATGGCAGGAGGGGTGCAGTGAGACCCACGGGCTCACTCCGACCCCAGGGTTTACCCACCTCAGGGGATGCTGCCAGGATGTTCCCAGTGTGACATCCATCCATTTATCTATCCATCCATCCATCCATCCATCCATCCTCATCCATCCATCCATCCATCCATCCATCCATCATCCATCCATCCATCATCCATCCATCCATCCATCCATCCATCCATCCATCCATCCTCCTTCTGCAGCTACGGGAAGCACGTCCAGCACTTCAAGGTGCTCAGGGAGAGGAACGGCAAATATTTCCTCTGGGAGGAAAAGTTCAACTCCCTCAACAAGCTGGTGGATTTCTACAGGATGACCACGATCTCCAAAGAGCAGCAGGTTTTCCTGTGGGACGAGGAGCAGGCCCAGGAGGTACCACCACGGGTGGGGCTGTGGGTCCCAAACCCCTGCGTGAGCCCCCTGGAGGCTCAGTGTCCCTGCAGAGGGACAGGGACATCCCTGCCTGGCACTCACCCTTTGGCTTGGGGGTGAGGAGCAGGAGAGGTGCAGCAGCCTGAGACAGGCGGTGCTGCAGGGAGGAAGAGCTGCTGGGGCAGCTCAGGGGGCAGGGCAGGGCACACATCCCTGTCCCTCGGGCCAGGGGTGATGCCCAGGGCAGGTGGCAGAGCCAGGACAGGGCACGGCCAAACTCCAGCAAAGCCAAGCCCTGGGGCAGTGGTTGTGGAGGTGACAAAACTGGGAGCTGGGATGGGGAAGGCTCCAGTACCTGGAAGGACCTGGGAAGGAGAGGGTGCCAACTGCCTCCCTGGGCACCCTTCTGGGGTGTCCCAGCAGCAAGAACAGGGAGTCTTGTGCCCCGGGGTGTTGCCCTGCATCTGGGATCTCCCAGCAATCCACTCTTCCCTTTCCTTGCTTGTCTCTCCACAGCAGGCATCCCAAGGCTCATGCTCATCCCGTGGTGGCACAGTGTCCCCACCAGGACCCTGGCAGTGCTGCCCAGTGCCAGGGGCTGGCAGGTGGGGACCCCTCTCCTCCCACCAACCCCAGCCCTCGGCTTCCCTGCCGGTGAAGAGACCCCGATTCGTGCAAGCCCAGTTCGACTTCTCAGCCCAGGAGGGCTCCCAGCTGCCCTTCCTCCGTGGGGACATCATTGAGGTCCTGGGCTGCCCCGACCCCAACTGGTGGCAGGGGAAGATCTACGGCCGTGTCGGGCTCTTCCCACGGAGCTACGTCCACCCCATCCACATGTGACCTTCGAGTGACCATGCAGAATGACCTTTGTGTGACCATCCACAGGTGACCTTTGAGTGACCATCCACAAGTGACCTTTGAGTGACCATCCACAGGTGACCCTCACCACGCCGCCGCTGACCAGGCAGGACCTGGCCCCGCTGTCCCCCCTCACCAGAGCTGCCCACACAGCCTGAGTGTCCCTTTGTCCCCAGGATGGTGCCTGGTCCTTGTCCCCCTGGTGCGTGACCCCCAGCCCAGGGATGGGGCTGGCAGCACTGCCAGTGTGCCACAACCATGGCCATAAAAACTTTTCCAGAGGCAAAATCCAGTGGGGTGACAGCAACAGAGGGAGGGAGCCCAAACCCCCAAACCCTGAATCCTCTCCCAACCCTGAATCCTCTCCCAACCCCATAAGCAAAGCCCCAGCTCCAGGGAGGGCTGCAGGCAGGCAGGACACAACCAGAACCCACAACTCCACGGAGGAATTCCAGGACTCAGGGAACCAGGGAAGGCTGATCCACAGGGATTCCATCCTGTGGGTGCTGTTCATAGCTGTGAATTGTGGTGCTTTTTTATATTATTTTTATTTAGGGCCAGTAAAATGTGTTTGGGTGTTGCCCCTGAGAGTGGCCGCTCCTTTCCCAGCACTGCCAGGGTGATCCCATCCCTCCATTCATGCCAGTGCTGCTTCCCTGCAGTTTTACTTCCCTGCATCCCCCACTTCCCCACCCCAGTGCCTGTCCCAAACCCCCTCCAGGGATTTTCTGCCCCCACAAATGCCCCCCACACCTCACACCCCCTGGGATGCACTCAGGGAATGCAGTGCCCAGAACACCCAAATCACTGCACCCGTGGATTTAAACACCACATCCCAAACAAATAAAAACCACCACCCAAATCCTCATTTTTCTCCTCTCCAAGCACTCTTGCCCACCTCAGGGGCTGTCAGGGTGCTGGGCAAAACAGGCATGACAGGAAATATTGACACACATCAGGACAAAGGTGCTGATGGCACAGACACGGGCCCAGAACGGGGGTCCTGTGGTGTCCCCAAGGGCCACAGCCAGCGTCCCGTGGCCGTGGGTGGCTGAGCAGGAACCTGGCACAGACACATGCTGAGTGTGGGGGACAGATGAGCCTGGGGACAGCCACCTCCTGGAGCTCAGACCCCCAGGTCTGGGAGCTTGGAGCTCTTTGCCCCACCACAGTCAAAGCCCTTTTCTCAGGGCTGGAACGAGATGATCTTTAAGGAACCTTCCATCCCAGGATGTGGCATCCCCTCCCTGCTGGGTGTGGGGGCATTTGGGACCCCCTGACAACTACTCAGAACTCAACCCACGCTGAGGAAAACCTCAAACCTGCAGCTCACAGAGCTTTTCTCCCTGTGCCAAGCTCATTTCCTTGGCTCTGTCCTGGGGAAGCTGCTCGGGATCCACCGCGGCAGCGCCTCCCGCCCCGGGCGGGCAAAGCCCTTCGCAAACATTCATTATCCACCGGGGAAAGCTCTCCTGCCTTGTCACACCCTTGTCACCGGAGCCAAGCCAGTGCCAGTGCCAGGGAGGGGCTAAGCCGCTCTGAGACAGGCACCCCTCTTCCCAAGGGGGACAAGACGGGACCCCCAGTCCCGGCATCGCCGCCCATCCCCTTCCCACCCTCCGGACGTGGGAATGCCAAGAACCAGCCGCTGCTCCGGCCCAGCCTGGGCACAGCGCGGCCGGAGCCCTGACCCAGATTCGCTCCCTGTCATTGTGTCTGGGCCGGGGGCACCGAGCCGGGGGCACCGAGCCGGGGGCACCGAGCCGGGCACTCCCCAGCGCTGCCTGCGGGCACCGAGCGCGGCTCCGCGGGCACCGCCGGGGGCAACGGGGATGTGGGACAGCCCTGTGCCACCGCCCTGTGCCACTGTGCTGTGTCACTGTCCTCTGCCACTGCCCTGTGCCACCGCCTTGTGCCACCACCCTCTGCCACTGCCCTCTGCCACAGCCCTGTGCCACTGTCCCTGCCACCCCCGTGTATGACCGGACCCGGCTGGAGGCTCAACCACCAGCCTAGGGCAGTGATGTTGGAGCAGCCCCACACTCACAGGCGCACTCCTCAGGGTCCACACAGCCCACGGAGGCTGGGGGACAGAGCACAGTGACACGCTGAGACCCCTGGCAGCGTGGGGGCCAGCCCTGCACCCCTTCACCCCCTCTCCCCCCTTTGCCTCTGCCATGGCCACCATGCCCAGACCCTGGCAGGACACCGGTGGAGGAGCAAGGAGCACATCCCACCTCAGAGGTGAAAATCCACCTGTGCCTCGCCCACCCTCAGCTCCAGCACTGCAGGACCCCTGACCCTGTGCTGCCCAGCCCGCTGCAGGCCGGATCTATTCCCAGTTAAACCCAGTGGCAGCTGCCCCGGGGGGATCTCCAGAGCCCCACCAGGACCCGGGGCTACGGCCAGAGGCAGCAGAGCCCCGGGCAGGCACTGCCCATCCCCAGCCAGGTTCCTGCACCGTTGTGGAAATTTCCTGGGCATGGGCAGCACCAGCAGCTCTTGGGATTTGGGTGGCAGCGCTCCAGGACCATCAACACCCAATTATTTCTATGTCTCAACGAGCGCTGAACCCTTTTTTTTTTTTTCTTTTAATTGTTACGCTCATAAAATATTGAAATGAATGGAAATTAATGTCAGGCATAAATATGGATGGGCTGCCTGGCTCTCAGGGCTGCACCCGCCCAGGCAGGAGCACGGGGACGAGCACGGGTGATCCCTGCACAGCACTGGCCTGCTTCTCCTGCCTGTGACTCCACCAGCACAGCCCTCAGCCTCCCAGTTTGTCTCAAACACCACTGGTGACACCTTGGGACTCTCCACAAAGCAGCGTGGGGCGCGCTGGGAGCACGGCTGGGCTGTGGGCAGACCGCAGGCCGTGCTCAGCACATCCCAAGGATGCCAAAAAGCCCAGCCTGGACTCAGCCCTGAGGCTCCAGTGACTCCTTCCTGCAGCAGCCCTGAGCCAAGCTGCCATCAGCGCTCCCTGCCTCAGTTTCCCCTCTCTAAAACACCACGTTGTGCACGGCTCCATGCAAATCGTTGCTGGCTGGAGGGTGGAAAAGGTTCCAAAGGGCAAGGCAGTGTCTGGGTGTTGTATTCCAGCTGAAATGCCTGCCCCAGGCCTCAGCTCCACCACTGAACACTCGGTGGCACCTCGGAGTGAGTGGGAAGCAGGAGCCCCCGAGCCAGGAGCAGAGCTCAGTGTCATACCCCTCTGCCTCACTTTTAGGCCCTCTGCTAAAAATGGAAAATTAGTTAGGACCTTGTAATTAACGCTTCCATCTGCAGGAAGGGGCCGTGTCTGCAGCGGGTGCTGCCTGTCCAGCTGGATCCACCCGGGGACACCTGGAATGATGAGACCAACCTGCTCAGCCTGCAAACAGGGGCTGCACCCAATTCAGGGCTAAATTCACCTTGTGGGGTGAGGAAACCCCCGGGATGGGGAGATGGGCACCCAGGTGAGGACCGGGTGTGGTGATGCTGCAGGTGTGGGGCTCTGCCACCCCAATCCACCCCCAGCAGCAGAGCCAGCACACGGCACACAGTGGCTGGGATGCAGCATTTACCCCACATGCAATAAATCATTAATGCACACACCCCGTGAAAGAGTCTGTAAATCTCCTGGCACAATAAAAACACCTGGAGCAAGCGGCTGAGGCGGCCAAAACCACAGCACGCTCCTGCCACGCCACACACCCACTGCAGCACCCATCTGGGCCATCTCCTTCACACCCCAAGAGGTCCTGGCTGCTGGCTCGGTGCTCACCTCTGTCCCATTTGCTGTCCCCAGCTCTGGGATTTCACCTAAAACGCCCAGGTTTGGCTGCAGCTCCCTCAGTCTCGGCTGCAGCAGTCTCTGAGCAGGCCACGGCGTGGGGATGTCACCCCAGCCCTGGGGAATCCCTGCAGGGTCAGCCCTGAAGTCACCAGGTCCACCTGGAACCCCTCCTGAGCTGGTGCTCTTTGGGAGCCAAACCCCTGCACCTTCCCCAGGTGACACTGGGGGACACGGTGCAGTGCTGGAGCTGGCAGTGCTGCCCTGGACTCAGTGATCCTTTCCAACCTCAGCGATTCCATGATCCCAACAACCAGCTGTCACCTTCCTGTGTCCCCCAGCCCTGCTGCCACCTCCTGCAGGGGCCAGGCCAGCGCTGGGCACGAGCCCACACAGGATTTGTCACTGTGGGGCGAGCAGGGCCCCTGTGCCTGCAGAGAGGAGCACTTTGGTGGCCGAGCAGCCGGCCAGACAGGCGGCTTGGCCCCGGGAGCCTGACTCAGGCAGGGCCCTCATTTACCCGGCTGTGAATCCAGATGAGCCACACCAACGCCAGGGACAGACACACAGCCCGTGGCACTTCCCTTCTTTGCATTGGCGCAAGAATCTGACCCCAATTCCTGAAATTCGTCTCCGGCTGAGCTTCCAAGAGAAAAGCTCAGGAGAGCTTCCACATTTCTGGCTTGTGAGCACCAACTGGTGAGTCCAGGGTGGGGTTTTTTGTCCTTCTCACAGTTATTAATAAAATCTGTCACAGCCAGATCTGGTGACGTTGCTGTGACCACGCTGCAGACTCTGTAGAAGGAGGGACAGGACAGGACAGGACAGGACATGACAGGACAGAACAGAATAAATAAATGGTTTTGTGGAAGAGCCCTACAACAATCATCTGGTCCCACTGCCTGACCAATTCAGGGCTGACCAAAAAAAATTAAGGGCATTGTCCAAATGCCTCTTAAACACTGACAGGTTTGAGGCCTTGACCACCTCTCTAAGCAGCATGTTCCACCACTGGAACACCCTCTCCACAAAGAAATGCTTCCCAAAATCCAGTCTAAACCTGCCTCAGTGCAGCTTTGAAGTGTTCTGGCAGCTCCCACTCGTGCTACCCACCCGGGCTCTGAGCTCCTGCTCCAGCACAGGAGGGGTTAACCACAGGACAGAGCTTTTTTCCTGGAAAATATTGACTTACCAGCCGGCACATGGGGAGAGGGGAGAACCTCAGAGGAAAGATTAAAGAAAAGGAAAAAAGAAAAAGAAAAAAAAAAAGAAAGAAAGAAAAAGAAAAAGAAAAAAAAGAAAGACAAAACAGCTCTGGAGCCCCCGAGGAAAAAAGAAAAAGAAAAAAAAAAAGAAAGAAAGAAAAAGAAAAAGAAAAAGAAAAAGAAAAAGAAAAAGAAAGAAAAAGAAAGACAAAACAGCTTTGGAGCCCCCAGGACCCTCCCGCACCCGCAGCTCCGGGGGCTCCGCAGGTGCGAGGCCGCATCAGCCGAAAGAGTTAATCGGGCTGGGCAGGGAATGTGTGAAGGCAGCATGTGACTGCAGGTGGGGCAGGGCGGAGGGATGAATCACTCTTTTCCTTTTCCTCTTTTCTCTTCTTGCTGTTACCTGTCCGGGCCCGGCAGTGCGCGCTGGCACAGCCCGAGCCGTGCGCGGCCGGGGCGATGCGCAGCGGGCACCGCGCCCGCTCCTCCGGGCACCAGGCGCTGCCCCCCGGCCCGGGCACCCTGCGCCTCGCTGCCCTGCCTTAAGCCGCTTTTCCTCTTTGTTTCTTCCCCAGTTTTTTATTCCGCCCGGCGCTAGCGCTGCCTCGGCAGAGCGGAGGATGAGGAGGGAGCGGGCGCGGGGCTGAAGGACGTTCCCGGTGCCGTGGGTACACCTGGGGCTGTCTGCCCCGGCACGCAGCCCCTGCTGCGGGCAGCTCCGCGCTTTCCTCGCGAAAGCAAAGCCTCCTCCCCGGCAGGAAGAGCTCCGGCGTGGCAGGAGCCGCTGGGAAAGGGAGCGGTGCCTGGAGCCGGGCACGGTGAAGCAAACTGTGTACTTAAAGACTGGAGAATAATTAATTCCTATTTATTGCCGACATCCGGCGCTCGCTGGGGGCACAGAGCTCCCTCGGGAGAGGGGACCGGCGTGCGGGGCCACCATGGCTTTCTCCCAGGTGCAGTGCCTGGACGACAGCCACGTCAACTGGAGGTCCAGCGAGTCCAAGCCCGAGTTCTTCTACAGCGAGGAGCAGCGCCTGGCCCTGGAGGCGCTGGCCTCCCGTGGCCCCGACGCCTTCTATGAGGTCCTGAAGAGGGAGAACATCAGGGACTTTCTGTCCGAGCTGGAGCTGAAGAAGATCCTGGACACGCTGGAGACGTACGACCCCGGCTCCGAGTACATCCCGCGGCACGGCAGCGGCGGCGGCGACAGCGACGGCGACAGGAACAGCCAAGGGGACGAGCAGGACGTGGCCCCTTCCCTGGAGTACTGGCCGCAGAGGTCGGACCGCTCCATCCCGCAGCTGGACCTGGGCTGGCCCGAGACCATCGCCTACCGCGGGGTCACCAGGGCCACCGTGTACATGCAGCCGCCCATCGAGGGCCAGGCGCACATCAAGGAGGTGGTGAGGAAGATGATCTGCCAGGCTCAGAAGGTGAGGTGGCCGCGGGGACGGGGCAGGGTTGGCCCCAGGGCGCCGCGCTCCGCGTCCTGCCCAGCCGGGAGATCCCTGTCCTGCGGGAAGCTCTGCCCGAGCGCAGGCAGCGGGGCCGAGCCGGGGGGTTTGGCATTGGTACCGATATTTGGGGTTTTGCTGAGGATATGCCAGCCAAGCTCTGCCCGAGCGCAGGCAGCGGGGCCGAGCCGGGGGGTTTGCCTTGGTACCTATATTTGGGGTTTTGCTGAGCATGTGCCAGCGGGGTTCAGCGCTCCTGGGAGCAGCACAGCCCTTCCCAGTGTCCACACAGCAGCTCTGCTCATCCCAGGGTCCCTGCGGGGCTCTGGGGAAAGCTGCTGGGGAGAAAAATGGGCTGAGCTGTTCTCATGGTCCCAGCCACTCCACAATCGTGTGACAGCACGTGACAGCATGCAGGAACATGGGATTGTGCTCTGGTTTCGGGCCCTGGGTCCAGCAGCTGTCCAGTACCAACCCTGGGGTCATGGCCCGGCCTCAGCCCTTGTGTCCCCCACCCATCCAGTCCATGACCCTGGGGTAAAGCAGCCAAAGCTCCTGGTCCAGCTCTGACCCACACGAGGGCCAAGCTTGGCCCGAGATGGCTTTGGGGCTCCAAGCTGGCTCATCCTGGCGCTCAGAGGACAAGGATGAGCTGGAGAGGGCAGGGACAAGGCTGGGCAGATGCTGAAGGGGTTTGGGTTCAGACTTGTCCTCCCTGTGGCGTCAAGCAGGGAGTGGGCATGCATGAGCCATCACCCCAGCAAGGAGGGAGACGCTGGCCTGTGCTGAAGGCCAGCAGGGGTGGGAAGGTGCTGCTGGTGCCTCCCAGTGACCCAGTCCCACGAGGGGCTGGTTCCTGCTGGTTTCTTGGTGCTTTGAAGCTCTTTGAGTTGTGTGCATCCAGTACCGTGAGAGCTCCAAGGAAGGAGCTTCCCAGACAGAGGAATTCCAGCAGGGAAACAGGGAGACCCTGCTGGGGTAGCTGTGGAGCAGAGGGACAGCCTGGGATGTGTCAGGTCCACCTGGCTGCTCCAGAGACAGTGCTGGGGTGTGCAGGTCCTGCTGGGAGAGAGGGACACTGTGACATGCAGCCAGCAGAGCCTCCTCAGACCAGCTCAGGCAGGAAAATGAATCTCTGAAAACATCCAAGGCAGCAGGGTCTCGGGAATGGCTGTTGGGGGTGTCAGGGCAGGAGCCATCTCTGCCCACTGTCACCTCACAGGAGTCGAGGTGCCTTGTCCTCACCTGTGACATTTTCCCCGCCAAAGCGCTTCGCAGCGAGCACAGAGGGAAGGGAGAGCTGACATCCCGTGGGATGGAGGACGGGAGAACAATCCCACAACAAACAATGGCTCATCCTCGGGTCTTTCCTGCCGCCTGTGACTCGGGCTCGCAGCTCCTGCCTTTGCCTCCTCACCCTCCCACCTGCCCCACGCCAGCAGCTCCTCCTGAGTCACCCCACACCCTGCTCCTGCTCCCGAGCTGACTCAGGCCCATCCCCAGCTCCCCTGGAGCCTCTCCAGGACACGGGGACGTGGCCAGCTTGGTGCTGCTGTGCTCATCACCCGTCCTGGATGGCCCCTGAGCAGGGCTGGGCTCTGCCTCCCGCTCCAGACGGGCCCTGACTGTGGGGTGAGACATGGTGACACCACTGGTGACATGCAGGAGCTGCCTGGAGCTTGTGGTGCCTCAGGAAATGCAGAGATGGGTGAGTGCTTGTGCTGCAGGGCCTGGGGGTGCAGGGGTTCCAGGAGAGCGGGGTTCTTCCATCTCCCATCCCGTGCTGGAGCACAGGAATCCTTGCAGCTCAGCCTGCTGTCACACAGCAGAGCCCAGGTGACAACTTGTGGGTGCTCCTAAGGGTGGGGGACGCTGGGCTAGACCACCCTGCAGATTTCAGCAGCTCAGAGGTGAAAGGGGTTTGGCTGAGGAAGCTGAGAGTGGACAAAGGGGCCGTCCTGCTGCCACCATCAGATGTCACACACGCTGTCCAGGTGCTCTGTCCTCCCTGGGGAGATCCTGCTGACCTGTCCCATCCCACAGTGCTCTCCACCACGTGCAGAGGAGCAGAGGCTTGGGAGAGGCTGACAGTCCCTGCCAGAGGATGACCCTTGCTCCAGACGCCGTCCCTGCCCCGGTGCCAGCCCCAAACCCGCCGTGTCACTCACTGTCCCCAGGAGAGCAAAGTCCTCTGGCGCTGTCCCAGCAGAGTTCAGAGCCCAGCAGAGCAGGGCTGCTGCCGGGAGGTCACAGAGCTCTCAGGGTGAGGAATCCCAGGCATGTGAGGCCGCTCTGAGGGTCAGAGGAGCCCTGGTGCTCACAGGAACACAGCAATGAGCCAAACGCTGCCTCAAACCCAGGCGTGCCAGACAGAGATGCAAATGATCCCCTCCTCTTGCTGGGAATGAATGGGACAAAGCAGAGGCAGGATCCTGTGGCCAGGTCCCTGAAAATCCCATTTTTGTGGCCAACAAGCAGAGCTGGTGAGGGACTCACGCCGAGACCTTCACCAGGCCGAGCCTGTGGATCCTCCTTGCTGCATCCCTCAGGCTGCAAAGCTCACAGCTTGGACTTGAGCAACAATTTCTTCATGGAAAGGGTGGTCAGGCACGGGAAGGGGCTGCCCAGAGAGGTTTGGAGTCCCCATCCTGGAGGTGCCCAAGGAGTTTGTGGATGTGGCACTCAGTGCTCAGGCCTGGTGAAAAGTGGTGATGGATCCAGGACTTGACAATCCTGAATGTCTTTTCCAGCATTAATGACTCTGTGTGGAAGGGAGGAAGATCTCCCTCCTCCTCTCCTCTTGGCTCTCTCTGACCAGAAACCAGAGCACGAAAACATTGACCTTGGCCCAGAGCCAGTGGAGAGAGCAGCGACTCTGACCTCCTGTCTTCACTTGAGGTTCCAGGTTGGGATTGTGGTGATGTAATTACCCTGAGCAACTTCCAGCGAAGGTTGGGAGGCCCTATTAATTACTGTTTACAAAACCTTCTGCTGTTCCTGGATGAAAGGGTCGACAGGGGAGAGCAATTATTAATGTTACTTGTCCCACCTCTCCTCCATCCCAACACTCTTCCTCTAATTGTGCCTTGGTGCCTGCCTAATTTATTAAATGCCCACGTGGTGCACCCCAAAAGTCATTATCTGATGATTCATAGTGAGACAATAAAGAGCTGCAACTTCCTCTATAAAACATGATCCTGCAGTTTAGGTGCTCATCAAAGCTGCTCCAAAAAATCCCAACAGCATTTGCCCCGTGCCCAGGGGGTTCAGTGCTCCCTGCTCCTCAGGGATTTGGGACCCAGCCCTGCACAGCTGCTGTGCCCCACGGATTCTGGCAGGAAAAGCTTCACCTGCATGGCACTGGGAGCCTCCAGCTGCAGATTTGGGGCTGATTTCCCCTGCACCCTCCAGGAGAATGGCAAAGGGATGGCAAAGCTCCCTGGGATGGCACAGCAGCACAAGGGCTCCAGGAAAGGGAACGTCCAGCACCAAGCACTGCCCTGGCAGAGGTGGCAGGGACAAGGGACAGGCTGGCTCCTCCCAGGCAGGTGGCACAGCTTGCTGCAGACAGTGCCATCCCCGAGCTGGGAAGCAAAGAGCAGGCAGGATTTCACTGCTCCACAGCAGACTGGCCTCCACTCTTTGCAGGTTACCCCTGTGCCAGGCTTGGCAGCCCAGGGCCCAAGCCCAGAACAGATTTCAGCCAGGCAAGGACAGTGCCCCACGGGAGCTCTGCCAGTGCCATCCTTGCTCTGTCACCCGCCCTGTGCCAGGGCAGTGTTGGCACATTGGCATGAGATCCTGGTGACAAACCAAGCCTGTCCTGCAGGCAGGGCACAGCAGGGAGGGAAGCAGGAGCTGAGCAGTGACAGGATGCCCCAGCTGGGCAGGAGGAGCTGGGCTCAAACGTGGGCAGGTGCCCGAGCCACTGCCTGCAGTGTGTGAGCAGGGCTGGGCATGCCAGGGCTGCCCACAGCCCTGCACAGCTCCCTCACCCCTTCGAGCAGAGAGCCAAGGCCTCAGCACTGCTGGGACCACAGGGGGAAAGTGTTCTTCTCCCTCAAAACCAAAGTCAGCTCTGTTCTCAACCCCATTTCACAAGTGCTCAACTTTTCCTGGGGAAAACACAGCACACAGGAGAAGTGGCATGGGCATGGGGCATCAGGGTCAAAGCAAATCATTTCCCACCAAACCCTCTGCCATCAAACCCACATCCCCAAACCAAACCCACTCTGTCCCACCAGGTGTCCCTTACCCAGGACTCATGGAAGACAGCTCAGCTCCTCCCCAATTTCTTGCTGAACACGGAAAATCCAAGCTCACAGCTCCCAGAGTAGCTTTGAACCAGTCCCACTTTGCATCCATGCAAATCCAGCAGCTGGTTCCTGCCTCAGTTTCCCCAGCAGGACAACGAGGATGAGCAGAACACACGAGTGGGTGCACAAGGGAGTGAGGATTTGGCTTTTCACAGCAAGGCCTGGGGTGAGGATAAATGGGAATTCAGTTAAAATCGAGTGGCAAAGCCATAAAGTGCCCTGGCACCCCCCAGAACACCCCTGTGAGGGCAGGGCTGGGGACACCAGGGCTGGGGCTCCCCACACAGCCTTGCTCTCCCCCCATCGCCTGCAGAAAAGGAAGAGCCAGCAGTGCCATAACAATCCTCTGCTTAATTAAAGCTCTGCACGTCCTGTGGCACAGAACTAATTAAAAGGCAGCTCGGTGCTTTGAGAGCTCTGGACTGGACGTGTCTGAGTGTGCAGGGACCCAGCACCATCCCAGCCCCTTCCTGAGGGGGGCAGAGGCACCCTGGGGTCTCCCTGGTGTCCCCCCCGGCTCAGCCACGTGCCATGGCCAGCAGGGCCCCTCTGGGGGGGCAAATGGCCAAGAGCAGCCCCTGCCCCAGCCCAGGAGCAGCCACAGGGATGGGAGGAATGCCAGCCACGGGACAGTGACAAAGCAGCTCCCGATGCCAACCCTGGGAGGAGGGGAGGCAGAAATCCCTGTGGAGCTGCCCTGGGATTGCCTCCAGCCCCTCTGCCACAGGTGATGCCATCACCAGGAGACCAACAGCCATGGGCACAGGCAGACAGCCCAGTGACATCCCCAGCGTGGCCCAGACCCATTGTCCTGTCAGCCCCAGCTGTGGCTGGGACAGCAGCAAACACCCTGGCAGCTCCAGCTTGTGGGTGTCAGTGACACTGGCATGTGACAAACACAGCTGGCACTGCCCAGGGTGCTGCCACTGCTGCCCTGGCCCTGCTCCTCCTCAGCCTGGGAGGAAGGAGGGATGCAGGGCAGTGAGACCAGGACAGATGGACACTGCACTCACTCAGTGGCTGGGCTTGATGATCCTGCAGGCCTTTGTCAGCCTCAGCAATCCTGTGGTCATTGTGCATCAAAGGTCTCCCCTGCAACGCTGAGAGCAAAGGGACACCAAAGTTCTCACAAACTGGACTCTGAATTGTGTGAAGCCTGTTAAAGGCAGGGAAGTTAGATTCACCCTCAGTAACTGGTTTTTATCAGTAGATTATGCTCTGGATCACCACTGAAGTGGTCAGGGTTGGAGAAAAACATCCAAAGACCATCAAGTACAAAAATTAACTCAGCACTGCCAGGGCCACCACTAAACCATGGCCCCAGGTGCCACATCTGCCTCTCTTGGAGATCAAACTTTCCACAGTGACAGCAGAGGACTGGGAGGACTTTCCATTCTCAGACTGGGGGCAATCCCGGGCTCCCCCAGCCCAAATTCCAGCCTCCTACAGGCAGCACCTTGCTTTGCCTCTCACAAAACAAGCTCTGACTGTACCTTGGGCTGTCCCTGGCCACAATACCCAGACTCACGTCTCCTGTCCCCTCTGCAGGTCATTGCTGTGGTCATGGACATGTTCACTGACGTGGACATCTTCAAGGACCTCCTGGACGCCGGCTTCAAGAGGAAAGTGGGAGTCTACATCATTCTGGATGAGACCAACGTGAAGCACTTCCTGCAGATGTGCGAGCGAGCCCACATGCACGCTGGACACTTGAAGGTAGGGATGACCTGAGGGTCTGGAGCTGGGGAACCTCCTCCAAATCAGAGATAATCAGAGTTAAACAGAATTATCATCCTGCTCCCTCCTGGCCTGGGGAGTCACAACCCCCAGATGTGAAGCGTTCAGTCCATTTTTCCTGTAGCCAAAGCTGGAGGTGATGGAGCAGCACGGAGGGGTGGGGGAGAGGATGGATGTGGATTTACACTCAGCAAATTCAGGAGCAGCGTGGAGGGGTAGGGGAGAGGATGGGATGTGGATTTACACCCAGCAAAGGTGGAGCAGCACGGAGGGGTTGGGGGAGAGGATGGGATGTGGATTTACACTCAGCAAATTCAGGAGCAGCATAGAGGGGTGGCTGAGGGGATGGGATGTGGATTTACACCCAGCAAAGGTGGAGCAGCACGGAGGGGTTGGCTGAGGGGATGGGATGTGGATTTACACTCAGCAAATTCAGGAGCAGCACAGAGGGGTGGCTGAGGGGATGGGATGTGGATTTACACCCAGCAAAGCTGGAGCAGAAAGCCCAGGGGGCTGCTGGTACCCAGCCAGGGCTGGGACAGAGGTGCAGCCCTACCAGGGTGGGCACAGCAAAGCCCAGGGCAAACCTGCGAGCTCAGCTCCTCCCGAGGGACAGGGAGCAGCAGGTGCTGTGCCAGGGCCGGGTCTGTGCTGTCACCAGCTCCCTGCCTGCTGCTGCCCCGGGGGCAGGACCGGCAGCAGCCACCGCAAGTCAGAGGCTGGAATTAAAAACTCGATTTTCCCCTTTTCCGGAGCCTCCGCCCCAGCACGGGGCCGGGAGCGGAGCAGGGAGGCTCCCACACTGCCCGAGGGCCTGGCAGCTGCCAAGGATGCCCTGGCTGTGCTGGGCAGTGCCCGCTGCAGGGACTGATCTGCCGTGGGTGCACACGGAATCACTCCTGTCAGGAATCCATGGCAAACCAGGGAAGGCAGAGCACAAGGGGGGATGCCTGTCAGGGCAGGGTCGGTTGGACGGGGTTTGGAGGAACCTGGTCTAGTTTAAAGTGTCCCTGCCCCTGGCAGGGGGTTGGAATGAGATTTAAGGTCCCTTCCAACCCAGGCAATTCTGGGATTCCCCTTCCACATCCCTGTGTGAGCAGGGGGTGCAGAGAAAACCACCAGTCACAGAGCTCATGCCAAGGCAGGAGGGGCAGAGGAGAGCACAGGGGTCATTTCAGCCTCAGCAGCAGCAGCCAGAGCAGGGACCCTCACTCCAACCACAGCACAGCCCCAGGCTCTGCCCTGGGCACAGCCACCCAGAGCTGCAAACACCCCAGGGCTGCAAACACCCAGAGCAGCCCCCCAGCCCCACTGGGGGCTTGCAGACCCCCACCCCAGGCCACCACGGCTGGGCCTCGCCTGTTGCCTGGCAGAAGAGCCAAGCTGCTGCTCCTGACGTCAGCCAAACGCCCGCCAGGAGAGCCCGTGCCCGGGCAAGCTCCCCAAATTTGCTTAGGGTGAGGGCCAACCCCTGGCTGAGCAGGAACACGCAGGAGCCACGACACCCTCACACCTGGCTGGCACGAGGAGGGGGAGCTGGGGCTCAGGGACCCCCAAAGCCTCACAGCTTTTACCAGCTGCCCGCCAGCCTGGCTTAATTGCTGCTCCCAACAATTAAAGCAGCCCAGCTTTTACCTGCACCCAAGCTCCCTGGAGAGCCTGGGATCCCGCAGGCTGCTGCTGCTTCAAGACCAGAAAAGCCAGCGCTGACGCACTCTGGTGTTTTCCTGCATGAGCAGCCCGGTGGCAGGACTGGAAAAGCAGGAGAACATCTGCAGAGCTCTGCAAATGTCTAGAAGTTGGGATTTGCCACATATTGCAGCCAGTTCGCTGGCACGGGATGCAGGAGGAGGTGAGGAAAGTAGGGCAGAGTCTGGGAGCTGCTTCTGGAGGCAGGAGATGTTAACGAAACGTCCCCTCGTTATCTCGGTGGCAATTAGCAACCGGCTGGGGCAAGGCGGGCGCTGCTTGAGCAAGGGCTGTGATTCACCCTGCCCGGCCCCTCGGCCATCCCGCTGCCTCAGACTGCAGATCTCACTCAGCAGCAGTGATCGGAGGAGGAAAAGGCACCAGCACCGGGAGAGGTGTCGCCTGAAAATCACCCAGAGCTGCTCCTTGGGTGTGGGTAAAGGGGCAGCTCCGGGTGGTGACGGGCAGAGGGTGAAGCCTTGGGTGTCACTGCTCCCTCAGCAGCCCCAGAACACGGGGCAGGGGTGGGCATTGCCATCCCAGCCCCTCAGTGCAGCAAATTAGGATGCTCAGCACCAGTTTTGTCCCAGCCACAGCAGGCTAAAAGCATTGTCTTAGCATTTTTGCTAAGAAAAACGTGAAATTCATAAAAAATTCCCCCCCCAAACCTTCTCTGTTCAGTGAGTGGAGCTTCCCTGGAAACAGAGACAGGAAAGATGTTGCTTGCACATCATCTGCACAGAATTTTCCTGCCAGGGGCTAGGGGTGCACCTGGGCTGAGGACTGTGCCTGGTCATGGTCTCCAGGGATAGAGAGCCCAGGGAAGCAGATGAGAAAGGCTGGATGGAGGAGCGGAGGACAAATATTTGTGATGCTTTTCTTTAAAAAACAAAACAAAACACACAATAAAACAGGCATGGAGGGCATGACCCAGTGATGACACAGAGCCTTTTGCAACAGCCTTACCAACATCCCAGCAGGAGCAGGAGGAATGCAGGCGCTTTCTCAAGAAAATATTTTCTCCCCACCCAAAAGGAGCCCTGGGAGATGCTATCTGCTCTGCTTGGAATGTGCCAATGCCCTCCATGGAGACACCAGAGACAGGAGCCAGGCTGGGGATAAAAAAAAAGAACAAAAACATTTTCACAGAGCCAGGGCTGCCCCTGCATCACCGGGGAGGACACCCAGCTCCATTCCAGGGACCTGCTCCCACATCACCAGGTTTCATTTCCCGAGGGTGAAAAGATGTTTCCCCACTGCCTGATTTCCCACCAGCCCCTAAAAGCAGGATTAGATACCCAAATTTAGGAGCACAGCAGAGGGGGAGCATGGGGAAGGACAAACCCACCGCCAGCAGGTCCACGTGGGCTGTCCTGGGGTCCCCACCTCCCCCTAAACCCCCTGCAGATCTGCTGGGAGCAGGAGTGCACCCTCCTCTCCCACGGTGGCATTTGCATGGATTGCAGGAGCTGGGGAGCGCTTGGCAGCGCCACACACAGCTCTCACCCACAGACACCGAGCTCAGGAGATGGCAAACACAGCCTGGCAACGCAGGAAACTCTCCAGGCCGAGCCCATGGTGGCCTTGGGCAAATTAATTCATCTCTGTGGCATCCTCTGAGCTGGCCGTGAAGAACAGTGCCACTGCTCAGAGGGGCCGGGGAGCACCCAGAGGGGCCGGGGAGCACCCACAGGGCACGGGGAGCACCCACAGGGCACGGGGAGCACCCACAGGGCCGTTCCTGGAGGGGTGGCTGCCGGTGTCACTCCAGCTCCTCACTGCTGCCTTTGCCCTGCAGAACCTGCGCATCCGCAGCACCGGCGGCACCGAGTTCTTCACCCGCTCGGCCACCAAGTTCAAGGGGGCTCTGGCCCAGAAGTTCATGTTCGTGGACGGGGACCGAGCCATGTGTGGCTCCTACAGGTACAGCAGCGGCATCTCCTCCTGCCCAGCCCACCGAGGTGCTGGTCAAAGGATCAACATCGACCCTCGTGGTCCCAGGAGCCCGTGCCAGGCTTGCTCTGCTCATCCTAAACTGGGAGGAGATTTCCTAAACCATCCTCAGCCCAAGGAGATGTGGGGTGGGCCCTAAGGGGTTCCCACTACTCCCCACACCGCCAGGTCTAGGACAGCCACCCTTCTTGGAGGTGGAGGGACACGCCAAGTGCTTCTGTGCTGATCAGCACAGGAAGGACCAGAGCTTCAAACCGCAGCCAGTCCCAGCTCCCACACCAAGCTCAGCTTTCCAGTCAATTTCCTACACCAAGTATTTTTCAGTTTGTTCAAAGGAAAACTTGTTTAGGTAGAAACCGACCAGCTCTGGTCAGGTTTCAGGTCTAAAAGACAAGATTTATAAACATGGAGCTGGAACATTTCCTCTTTTCTGGCCATAACAAATAACACATCCACTTAGGAGCCACTTCTCTTAACCCAAACTGAGACAGGAAAAACAGCCAAGGCAAAAACTGACCCTAAGGCAAAGTAAGGCAAAAACTGACCCACTGCCATCCACTTAGGAGCCACTTCTCTTAACCCAAACCGAGACAGGAAAAGCAGCCAAGGCAAAAACTGACCCACTGAAAATTCCTTTTATTTTTACTTCAAGTCCCACTGTGCTCAAGACTTCAACCCTTCACTCTAATTTGGGATGGGAGCTATTTTGTCAATCCCACTGTTATGTTTACAGTGAGACCATGTTCCTGCTGGCACCATCAGGGAAGGCCAGGCACTAATTTGGGATGGGAGCTATTTTGTCAATCCCACTGTTATGTTTACAGTGAGATCACATCCCTGCTGGCACCATCAGTCCCCGGGGAAGGCCAGGCCAGGGGAGAGGTGACATTTACCAGCTGAGATCTCTGATGTTTCTGTTCCAGCTTCACCTGGTCCGCGGCGAGGACGGACCGGAACGTCATCACGGTGCTCTCGGGCCAGGTGGTGGAGGCGTTTGACAAGCAGTTCCAGGAGCTCTACCTCATGTCCAAGGGGGTGAGCCTCAAGTCCATCTCCGTGGGCGAAGAGCCCGAGCCCGAGCCCGTAACGCTGCCCTCCGTGGTGCCGGTGACCCCCGCCAACGCCGTGGTGAAGAAGCTGATAAACCCCAAATACGCCCTGGTGAAGGCCAAGAGCGCCGACCAGATCAGCAAGACCTCATCTGAGAACCAGGACAAAAACCAGAAGAGTGACAACAAAGGCAAAACGCCTCCCGAGGGCCAGGGGGGCGAGCGGCACGGGGACGGGGCCGACCTCGCCCCGCTCATCCACCCCGGCCTCCTGAACCTGGAGAAAGCCAACATGTTTGACTACCTGCCCACCTGGGTGGAGCCTGACCCCGAGCCCGGCAGCGAGGTTTTGGGCTACATCAACATTATCGACCCCAAGGTGAAGAACGTGAAGCTGTCGCAGATGAACCGCATCAAGGTCTGCGACGTGTCCCAGGCCAGCGCCCAGCACCGCCAGATGCTGAGGAACAGGGAGATGGAGGCCAGGAAGAACTCGGAGCAGGAGCTGCCTCTGCTGTCCCCCAGCCACAGACAGGTCCCACAGCCCCCCACGGAAGCTCCTGCAGCCCCCACCCCCATCGAGGGTGTCAGCTGGACAACGAGGCAAGTGGGGACATTTGCCTCTTCACCTCTGGGCCACCACGTGAAGCCACAGGAGGAGGCACTGCAGGATGTCAAACCCCCAGTTCCAAAGCCAAGGACCGTCCCTGTGGGTGTCCTCATGACCAAAGCCACCACCACGTGTGACAGCAGCGCTGCCCCGCAGGGTGACACCCAGCCAGTGCTGCCTGAGCACACGGGCGTGAAGCAGGAGGAGAAACCCAGCCGAGCTGCCAGGGAGAGCGGCCGTGCCCAGCCAGCAGCAGCTCCACAGGAGGGCAAAGGGCCTCCCTGCAGCCACAACGGGCTGGGAGAGGAGGAGGAGGAGGAGGAGGAGGAGTACATCACCCTCAGTGACCAGGAGAGCTACTCCAGCAGCTCTGCTGACCACAGCTACCGCCGCTCCAACGCCTCCTCCATCTCCGACGAGTACTTCGAGGTGAGGGACCACCGCTACGGGCCCCTCCGCAGAACCAACTCGGACGTCACCCACAACGGGGAGATCCTCCCCATGCAGAGGAAGCTCAGCGACCCTCACATCAGCCGGGGCACCTTCATCAGCCCCCTGGGCAGCCTGCCCTCCCTGAGGCACGTGCGCTTGGAGGACGTGACGAAGAGGAGGAGCAACGCCGTGGAGATCAGGCCCATGCTGCCCCGCGCCATCCTGGATGGAAACGGCTCCTACCCCAGCACTGCTGCCCAGGTAGGACTTCTTGCTTTTGTTTCTCCACCCTACAAAGGTCTGCAAACCTGGAGGTGACCCAGTGAGCTCAGCCGAGGCGTGATGTCATCCTGAGTTTTTTGGTGCCATCCCGACCTCTGGTGTTGTCCCAGATGCTGAGATCAGCCTGCCATAAAGGAGAACAACACCCTGCACGTGGCCATGGTCACCCAAGAGGTGACCAAAGACAGCTCCTGGTGGGATGGCTGTTAAAGGGGATGGGTTTGGTAATTAAAGATGATCCCACAGCTCCAGGCACAGCTGTACAGATGTGCTGGGGCTCCCTGAGCTCCATCCACAGCCCCTCACGCCCAGCTGGGGACAGACTGTGCACACTGAAGGCGTGTCCTTCTCAGGCTTGTTTTGCAGCGCCTTGCCAGGGTGATTAGCATCAAAGGGAAAGCGCTGGACACATAATTAGGCAGAGCAAGACAGCGGAGAAACAGGGACAGCAGCCTCCGTGGGCGAGTGCCACAGTCAGCAGCTTTGGGGCTGATCCACGAGTGACGCTGGCCCTGTCACTGCTCAGTTCCGTGGGGGGCAGGCCAGGACCCCACGGGGCCACAGCAGCATCCCCACCTGGGCCACAGCATCGTCCCACCCAGGGTGACAACACTGCCATCCCCACATTCCCACCCCAGCTCTGCAACCTCCTGCACCTCTGCCAAGCATTCCGGCTTCTCAAGGCTCCCCGCCCGCTGTTTTTGGGGCATTCAAACCCCCAGGGCCAAACCAGCAGCTGAAATCACTGAAACTGCCTGAGGTCACCCCAGCTGAGCATCTAATCTGTGTTTACAGAGAATTAAATGTACCATCCCAGAGTCCACTCGCTTCTCCCTTCCCAGCCAGCGACAGGGAGCTCAGAGCTTTCATCCTGGCACATCAAATACCCCTGAGCCCTGCAGGGCAAGGAGCACCGAGCTCTTTGATGCTCTGTGACCCAGGTCCCAGGTGCCACCTTGCTGGGGACGGCTGGGTACGCTGCTGTTCCTGCAGCAACTTGTTCTGGCCCTTTGATGAGATGCAGATAATTAGCACAGCATCAGGGTTAGGAAAGCCAGCACTCAGTGGAGAGGTGCAGGGAAGAGTTTCTCCCATGTGCAAAAAGAATAAATTGAAGTAACCCTTGATTAACTCTTGAAAACTCAAATTTGACAGAAATCACTACCAATTCTCCCAAATATATTTTTTTTTTCCTGGTTCCACGTTTCTTAGGTGCTGGCCCATTGCCCAAAACACAGGTGGAGGTTTACTCAGAGCAAACATCACGTTTTCCATGTCCAGGATGGAGCCTTGCTGTGGCTCAGGTTTTTAGCAGAGAGTGACCTGTGGAGAGGCAGGCAGGAGGGCTGAGCAGCACCAGCATCACTCCACATCAGCCAAACTGCATCCCCAATGCTGGAGCCACTGGGCACGGGGCCCAAAGGCAGTGGAGACATGAGTGGGGTTTCTCTCCAGACCAGTAACGGGTTGGGGTTACACCATAGCACCAGAAAAGCCCAGTGCAAGCACAGCAGCACATCCTCCAGCCTGGAGCCACCATTCCCCACCACCTTCCCACCCCTCTTGCCCCTTCTAGCCAATCTCCCCCCCAAAGAGTGCCCACAAGGACATGGAAACCGAGTCCAGCCTCCTCCTCCTCCTCCCACAGCCCCGCTCAAACCATCACACCTCAAAGCTCTGCCAAGCCGTGTCCATGCACAGCACAGCCACCCCTCCTAAACAGCAACGTCTGCAGGAATTGCTGATTTCACAGGGCTCAGAGTCCCTCCAAAGGCTCCCAGGGGAGTGCTCAGCACCCAGCAGTTTTCAGGCTCTCCTGGGCCAGCACTGCCTCGTTCTGCTGGTGGGCAGGAGGCACAGGCTGCTGGTCCTGGGGGGATACTTGGTGTAAGCCATGGTTTAACTTCTTCCCAAGAGCCAGAGCATGTCAGGAGCCACCACCTAGCTCAGGCACATGATGAGCTCAGAGGGAGAAAAGCTAAATCACCCTTAATCCTGCTCACCTGAAGCCATCGCAGACCTTAACACTGATTTTAAGCACCTAATTAAATCAATCTCGGACTACCTGAGCTAAACTGGTTAACACAACCCTCCTGGTCAAAGCAGGAGGTGTCAGCTGCAGGGCCAGGGAGGCCTTTGGGACTCTGGGACTGCCTGACACGGTGAGGGTCATGGCAGAGGCAGGGCAGGTTGGCACAGCCAGCTCTCACCAGACCCCACCTCCCCTGGTGGCTCTGCAATCTGCAATTGCACCTCCAGATCATGGCACGGGCACACCCAAAGGGGAGATAAACATCTGGTGGCCACAGCCACGTGTGACAGCCTTACCCAGCCAGAATCAGGGTGACCCAAACGTGTGTCTCAACCCAGCTAAGGAGAGCCACCCCCGCAGGGCTGCTGCAGCTCCTGCTGTCTCCTCTGCCAGCCCTCCAAGCTTCCATCTGATCCTGGCACTCACCTGATGCCAGGCTGGCTCTGGATGGCTGGATGCTCTTTGGGGCTGATGTGAGGGCTGAAATGATTAATGTGGGTGTTCAGGATGGTGCTGCAGAGAAGGTGTTGAGGTGCCTTGTCCTGGATTTCCAGGACAGCCTCCAGGGCTGCTGGGGAAATGTCAGCGCTTGCCACCAGGGTCAGGAATCAGACCAGCAGCCAGGGTTAATATCTGACCCAGTTCCACCAGGGAATTTGGGTGAGGGACGGGGGGATTTGTCCACGAGGACACCTGGCAGAGGCGAAGGGGTGGCCCTGCAGCAGCCAGAGCTCACCGTGTCTCTGCTCTTTCCCCAACAGGGCGCTCACATCTTCCGCTACCGGCCCAGGAGCGCGGCGGGCAGGGAGCCAGGCCAGGAGCTCTCCTGCTCCCCGACGCACGAGAAACCCCTCAGGGCCACCAAGTACAGAGGGGAGGCAGCAGAACCCAAAAAGACCGTGGCAGGCAGCCAGCCCTACTGGCAGAGCAAAGCCTTCAGCCCCAGCAAGGCCGCGGCACCAGGGCTGCCCCCGAACGCGGCGGGCAAACGCTTCAGCTCCCTGCCCGAGGGCCAGAAGGCAGCTGAGGAGATGAGGACACCCCTGGGCATCCCGCTCTCCAAGCTCTCCCAGTCCAAGCACCTCAAGAACAGGGTTGCAGGAGCCCAAGGTGCTCCTGTGGACTGCAAAAAGGCACCCGCCGAGGCCACGGGCCAGCAGGAGCAGTAGGGGCTGGTGGTGGTGGCCCTGCAGAGCTGGGGGAGCCCAGGCTCCTTCCCTGGGGCTGGGGGTTCTTGTTTACATTTGCCAGCAGCACGTGGCCACGATGGACAGCCCAAAATCACCCCTGTCCAGGGCAGAGCTCCAGAGATCAGGCCTCAGAAGGGGTGCATGGCATCCGCCCTGGCAGGTGGCAGAGTGTTGGGAATAATCTTGGATGGCACAGCCTTTAAATTGGTCTCTTCCAGGCTGGGGGATCTCTGACCTCGGTAAAAGCTGGGAAGCATCGTTGGGGCAGCTGGTACCCAGCAGTCTGTGGGATCAGCTGGTAAAAGCCAGCCAGCTCCTCATCCCAGAGTGCTGCCTGGAAAAGGAGGGATCATCCATGGTCGTGTTTTCCTCTGGTTATTTAAGAGACTCTTCTGTTACCATTTTGCACAGCAGGTCCCACTGCAGCCTGCCCTCCCTTTGGAGGGTGACCCGTGTCCTGGGACAAAGACTCCTCAAGGGACTCACCTCTTTTAAACTTGTACTGTAAAAAAGCAACTTGTTCATTAAAGCTCCCCTGTCCCACGGCAGGAGAACCTCGCCTAAAACTATTAAAATGCAAGATTAGGTGGCCTTGGACTCAATAAACTGCAGCTCAAGGTGCCTTGGCACAAATGTGCAGCCAAGTATTTTCTACCCCCCTGAGCATTTCCCCAGCAGCCCCATGTGCTCCCATCCCCAAACCTCCAGCAACCAGTAGAAGAAAAATAAGAAAAGAATCCCCTTTTCACTGCATTTTTCCTGGGAAATGGCACCCAAGGTCTGAGCCTGAGGCCTGGCAAGGAAAATGTGCCATGAACAAGCGAGCCCTGAGCCCTTGGCACTGCCCTGAGCTCCTGCCAGCGCTGCCAGCCAGCCCTGGGCTCTGCTGGCTCCCCACTGCTGCTGGGGGCACGGGGTGAACCCTCCTTGCAGCTCCCCCGGGTGCTCCAGCAGGGGAATTTTGGAGCCACAGGCATCACTTTTTGGAGAGAGGGATGGGAGGCACCACACAGGGAGGGGCATTGGCACCCCCAAACCCAGGGGAGAGGAGGGGAACAAAGCCAGAGCCAGGAGCATCCCGTGGTGCATTCCCCACAGCTGGTCCTGCTGTCTCACCCTGGATCCCTTCCATCCCTGCAGTGCAGCCCCCTCCAGAGCTCTGCTCCCCTCCAGAGCAGCAGGATGAGGTGGGAATGTGCTCCTGGGCAATCTCCCCCCCACAGGACCCTCCCCACGAGTGCTGCTGTGCTTAGACCACAAACCCCTCAGACACCAGGCACTGGGATCTCCACCCAGTGCAGCTTGTGCAAATCCCAATTCCCAATTCTTCCTCCAGTTCCAGTGTCCCCTCCAGCCTGGAGCAGCTCTCCCTGCAGCCCTCCCCTGTCCCTGGCCTGTCCCCCAGAGCATCCCCTGGCCTGAGCCCCTGGGGAGCTGCCAAAGGGGCATCACCCACCGTGTTCCCAGCCCGTCCCGCCGTGTTTCACAGGAGTCAGCATTCGGGAGCTCCTCCTGCTCTTGCACAAGCAGCCCTGGCCCCCCTCCAGGGCTTGGTTTATCCAGGCGCCGGCTACTCCCAGGCTCTGCATGGGCGTTGGGCACCAACAAAGGCTCTCCAGAGGCACCGAGCGAGTGCTGAAAGCAGAGATTTGTGCCTGGGGCTGCAGACCTGCTCCCTCCCCAGAGGAGCTCCCCAGCAAGCCACAGCACCCACGCCTGCCAAGGAGGAAGAGCAGGGAAAGCCCTGCAGGCAGCAGGAGCTGGCAGAGGCTGGGATGCAGCACAAAGGGTTAAATCCCCGTGGTGGATGGCAGGAGGGGGGGGATGGCCCCAGTCTGCCTCATCTGTGATGCCAGAGCTGGGCAGAGCCACCACCAAGGTGTGTGTTCAGCAAAGGGGGGTTAAACTGGCACAGGGCAGGGATGGATGGGATTTTGGGAGGGAATTCTTGCCTGTGAGGCCCTGGCACACATTCCCAGAGCAGCTGTGGCTGCCCCTGGATCCCTGGCAGTGCCTAAAGCCAGGCTGGATGGGCTTGGAGCAGCTGGGACAGTGGAAGGTGTCCCTGCCATGGCAGGGGTGGAACGAGATGAGATTTAATGTCCCAATCCATCCTGGGGTTCTGCTGAGTGTCCCTTATCAGCTGAGCCTGACAGGAGCTGGGGCAAGCCAAGCACCCTTGGGCACAGCCCCCTCCAGGTCCTGAGGCCTCCTGAGAGCTGGGGAGAAGCCTGTGCAACCAGCAGCTTGTCTTTGGGCTGCCCTGGATCTGCCAAGCGGCAGCAAAGCCAAAACAAACCGGGCCCCGCAGCTCCCCCAGGGGATTTTCCAGGCTTTGCCTCCTCCTCTGGCTGCTCTGCACCTGGCAGAGAATCCTCAGGGAGCCCCACGGCCAAGGAGGGCTCCCAACAATTCCAACACCCAGGCACTGCAGCCCCTGCTCGGATCTGAAGCCCTGCTGTGCCTGGAGCAGCTCTGTGCATGGTTAAACGCCACTGTCCCGTCTCCAGAAAGCCCCTGCCCTTTCATCTGACCTTTGTAAGCATGCCTGGCTGCATCCAGGGCTCTGCTTGGGCACTGGGGAGCAGCCACAGGACCAGGCTGGGGCAGCTCCCACCTGCACAGCTCTGGGCAGAGCCTTCCCCAGCGATGCTGAAATCATCCCAGCAGAGCCCCTAGAGTCATCCTCTGCAGGTAAACACCTCCCTTTGAAGCTGGGACCTGACTTTTTGCTTCCTGCTCCCCAGGGCTGAGAGCCCCGATGGCAGAGCCAGGCTGGTGGAAGCTCCCAAGGATGCTCTGAGGCAGAAAAAGGGGAGACACAACAGCGCTGGGGGCTCAGGAAGGGCTGGTGAGGAACCACCCTCAGCCCAACCCGGAGCAGGAGCCACATCCAGCCCTGCAGCAGTGCCTTGCTCCTCCTGCCAGGCACCTCCCTGGGCTCTGGGATCCCCTCTGGATCCACCAAAACTCCTGGAGCAGGGCTGGGGATTCTGCTTTGTGTGAAACTCCTGGTCAGAGTCAGAGTGAGACACAATCCTGAGCAGCAGGGGTGGCAGCAGGGCAGGGACAGCCCCACATGGAGCACCAGGGGGATGTTTCCCAGCCCCTGCCCCGCTGCAATGGCACAGGGGACACCACAGATTTTATTTAGGGTGTCTTTGCTGGGCATCCTGGCCACCAGATTGCTCAGACTGAATATTCCTTCCCTCCTGGGGAAGGGGGGTCCCTGTGATGGGTCTGTGCTCTCACCTCTCACTGCAGCACCACGAGCAGTGCCCGCAGGGTGCAGGGGCCAGCTGCCAGCCCCCTGCACAGGACAAAGGCTGGATCTGGGCTGGGAGCAGTCAGAAAATCTCAGTAAAAGTGCCAGGCTGGCAGGGACACGCCTGTCACCTGCCTGGTGAGCTGCAGTGGGCAGGGGCAGCAGCTCCTCCCTGGCTCTGGAGCCCGGGGGGCACAGCAGCCCCACGGATGGGGTGGCAGGGAGCAGCTGAGAGCCACAGGGGCTGCAGCCCCCCCAGGGGCTTGGGAGGGGAGCCAAGGGCAGGCTGGAGGGGGGGGATGCAGCCCCACAGCTCCACACAGTCAGGACAGCAGGCAGATCACATGCAGGACATTGATTTCCATCCCACTTCTCCCCAAATCTCCCCTTAGTGCAGCCTCAGCTCTCCTGCCAGCCCTACAGTTTTATTTTCCCAGCTCAGCAGGGTCCCCTGTGGCCATCCTTTGTCCCTTTCCATCCCAAGCTCTCCCTCTGGACCTGCTGAAACCCCAGCCAGAACCCATCACTCAGCACACCAACAAAAGCATCAAAAAGTAGCAGAATTTTAAAAAATGGGTCAAAAATGGAAGCACCAGTGTGTGACTCAGACGCAGGGAAGTCGGGGCTGCAACATCCCCAGCCTGCCTGGGGTTTGCAGGGATGCTCAGGGCGATGCAATGGCCACACCTGGCTGAGCTCACACCTGGCTCACAACAGGCCTCGTGGGCAGGGAAAACCCCAGGAGGGACTGGCCTGAAACCCACGCCTTGCCAAAGCCAGGGTGCTGTGGGTGCATTTGGGGTTGTTTCCCCTTTGGATGAGATAAGGAGGGAGGATTCAGTGCTGCTGTCTCCACTGGCACTGCCAGGGCAGGCAAGGTCCAGCCAAAAGAATAAAACCCAAAGGGCTGGCAGGGGCACACGGTGCCAGGGGCTGAGAGGGGCTGGCAGCCAGGAACCCACAGTTTCCAACCCCAGCTCCATCCAGATCACAGAACCACCCATGGGATGACCCTGCACAAAACCCAGCCGGTCCCACAGCAGGGAAACAGGGCCAAGGAATATTCCTGAAAGCTTTGGGAAGGGAGGGCAGCAGGCTGCACTGAGGGCAGGGCCAGAGGGAGGGAAAGGAGCCAGGTCAAGGGCTCTGGGCTTGTAGATTCCACAATAATAATCCTGCAATAGGAGAAGGCCAGATCATTGCTGGTACAAATAGGTACACACACAGGAAAGGGCCCAAGAGGGCTGGGGGAGGAGTTATTACAAATAAAAAGGTGCAGTGACAAAGGAAATCGTGGGTTGAGTCATCAGCTGCTGCAGAAAGCTGATCAGGTACTGGCTGGATGGGGCAGGGACGCCAACCCCAGCGGTATAACCCCTAAAAAACCACAAAGAACAGCAATCAAACACAAGCAGAAGGGTAAAGGGGCGTGTTTCAATGCAAGACAAAAATAGAGGCCAGGAGATGCTGAGCAGATCACCTGGACTGGTGCAGAGCTCCTGAGCAGCAGCATCAGGACAGGGGACAGGGGAAGGTCACAGAGCTGTGTGTGCAAAAGGAACACAGGGACAGGTGACATCCAGCACCCAGGGGCTGCTGCAGGGGTGGCACAGCAGGGAAACAGCCACCCCTGTGGGGACAGGGAGCACGTGGAAACCTGGAATGGTTTGGGTGGGAAGGGACCTGCAGGACCATCACATCCCACCCCTGCCATGGCAGGGACACCTCCCCCTGTCCCAGGCTGCTCCAAGCCTGTCCAGCCTGGCCTTGGACACTTCTGGGGATCCAGGGGCAGCCACAGCTGCCCTGGGCCCTCTACCCTCCCAGGGAAGGATTTTTTTCCTTGTATCCAATCTAAATCTCTCCTCTTTTATTTAAAGCCATTCCCCCTTGTCCTATCACGATCTGCCCATATAAAAAGTGAGTCTCCCTCTTTTTTATAAGCCATTTAAATACCAAAAAGCCACGTTTAGGTTCTCATGGAGCCTTTTCTGAACCCCTGTGCACACACCAGGACAATCCCGAACCCCAGGGGTGGCAGTGTCACAGATCCCCCACAGTCTCAGGGAGCAGAGCAGGCAGCTCCAGCTCTCCTTGCACCCACGGGGGGTGGAAATGAGAAATAAAGCAGAGACCCAGAGCTGGGATACCTTCAGCAAAAGCCACGGCACCACGGGAGGACAGGACCTGGCAGAGGGACAGTGGCAGTGCCACCAGCACATCTCCACCCAGAGCTGAGCTC